ACCGTTACATCTTCACATAGCCTTCAAATCTCTTATGCGTTTTTTATACCCTCTTCATGTGTTATTCATTAACCTTTAACCCGGTCTGTTCCACGCCCGTTGTCCGTAGACCTGTTTTCTTTAAGTATACCTATGTTATCAATCACTTATTTTTTCACCCCTTCTTGAATTTTGTTTGCTTCTCACACTTCCTTCGGGCCTTCTTCTTTTGTATTTTTTTCTTTCACCAGCGCTTCCTACACTTCTTTCGCACATTCTACACTACAGACACAACTACTTTACTTCCTAATGTAACGCTTACACTTTTCTGACGCCTCCCTCGCTTGGTGTCTTCAGAAACGTTTTATACTCTCTTTGCCCTTTAGTGACATCATCCGACTTTCTTACAGTTCTTTTCCTTCACGTCTCATTCTTTCATATTATTTTCCTTGTCATACACTTTTTACTCCTCCCATTTTTTTAAGTTGTTCTTCAATTCTGCTTAATTCTGTTAAAGTTTACATTTCTCCCCTATCTTAATGCTTAAACCTCGTTCCATCACTGCCTCTTTCTCGGCACATTTTTCGTTTGTTTATCTTTCACTTTTCCTTAAAGTTTCCTTTACTCCTTCGTCATTTTAGTGAATTTTACTTGTCTTCATCCATTCTCCTTTTGTGCCTTCTGTGTAGGTACTGTTCGCATACACGTTGCCTTTACACCTATTTGACGCTTTCGGACGACACCTGCTTACTACACGCATTTCTTGTTTATGTCTCTTTTTTGTAGGGTCCCTTTCAGACTCTCATCATATCACCTTCTTTCAAGTTGCTTCCATTGCCACTTTCTTCTCACACATTCATTTCCCATCACATCCTGTTTACACGGCAAAGGGTGGTGTACTGTTGCAGCTCGAGTTACCACTCACATGTTAAGGGAGGTAAAAAATGATCTACCACTATCAAACAAAATCTCGATGATGTCGGTTTGTCTGTCTGCACTCAATTTATTCGTAAACAATTTCGCTATGTTTTAAAGAAGAGGTTCCACTCTTCTGTAGATACAACTTACGACGATGCTTCCATTTTTGAGAGCTGACAACTGCGCGACTTTTTTACAAAGGGGAAAAGCTCTCTGCACCTTCCGGAACACTAACCCTCCTTACGTTACATCTTGTTTTAAGCAGATCTACCTACTAGAGCATCGTTAGTATACGTTTGTTATTTTTGTGTTATTTAATGCAGGTAGTAATCTTTGAATTTCATTATAATTTATTTGTATTTTATTGTATATATTTTATATTTTTTTCTAAATTTCAATCTTTGTTCTTGGAAATTGGCATGATTTACCCTCAATGCATCACGTGTACGTAAAATGTCGTTAGCTTCTATTGTTTCGAAATGGTTTTCATTTTTGGTGTAAATTTTTGCTCAATTTATGGTTATACTATGCGATCAAAAATGAGTTGCTGTCGAGTCATCTTTGGAATTTTTGTTTCCATATAGTAAATCGTGCTTAACTTGAACTTCCAAAGGCGACTCGACAGCAATTCATTTTTGATCGCCCGTTATATTCTGATTACATGGTCTTAGTCCATTATATTTTTTGCCATTTATTTAAATATGTCTAAGGTAGAAAATTGTTTGCTGTATCTACTAACTTGTACATTTTATCGTCAATTATTTAATGCAACAAATTATCTTATACATTGAAAACATTTTCACTATTTCCGGATTGATTTTATTTCCGTAGAGTGTGAAGTTAGCGTAGAACCTGGAGGTTAAGTTAGTTAAGTATAGGTACTACAAATATTTTAAAGCTTTCACTAAATGTGTTTCGGGAACACTTCGGAGTCTCGCTATATTAAAATAACTGAGGGATTCTTGATAAAACGTTTATTGAATTTTGACAAATTTTTTAAAGAAGTTAAGAGCCATTTTACAGATTCTTAGAAGTTCATGAGAGACTCTTTAGAGCTAGGTAACCGAAAAACTGCCCCTTTTCAGAGATTTTTGACTTAAAAACGTTTTTGTATATTAGGTGGGAAATATTTACCTCCACATTCTAGAGTGATTTTTAAACTTTCTAAAAACTCATCAGGAATTGATCAAATATTTCCTAAATTCAATCATCATACATTCATTAGGAATTGTGTTGATTTTTATTTTTGGTCTTTATTTTTAAGTGGGCGGGGTTTCAGCCAAGGGCTACTCCACCAACTCAACTCATTAGACATTTACAAATAGCCATGTCCGAACTCGGTTTCGAACCAGGGACCCTCGGCCTTCCATGCCAATGCGGCACACAGGCCGGCATTGTTGTTCTTACCTTACGTTTTGAGGCTTCTCAGGTACTAATCTTGTAAGATCTTTTTTTGAAAACTTCTCAAGAATTTTAAATTTATGAAATATTAGTTTAATGAACTTTTAACGGATTTCCATACCTACTTGGGTCACAGAATATTCAGATGTTTTTCCAAAGATGTTCTTCAGATGATTTTTATTCATTCATTGATTTTATAAAAACCGTGTAAAATCACACCAGAAATTCTGCATTCCAAACACTGTATAAATTATTAAAGGACCTCTAATCTTGAGAGGCTTACCTCTAAAGCGTTGATTCAATCAACGTCTAAAGTATCTATGAACAATTCATCAAGAATGTTTAAAGAATCTCTGACGCATCTCTGAAGAACTTCTCGACAAGTACTACACAATTTCTGAAGAGTACTTCAAGAATCTCGTTTAAATCGATAGAAATTGTACCTACGAAGTGCATATTTGCAGAAATTCTGACAAATACAGGATGATTTAATGAGAGGTGCTTAAATAGGAATACCTGTAAAAGTCTGTACACTTTTTCAAATAATCTCTAAATACTCTCTTATGAAACCGTGAAACACATACTTAATTTATAAATATCCAAACAATAACGGAAGAACTTCCGAAGAACATTTACTGAGCTTTGCAGAAGAAATCGCTCATGAATGTTTTAAAACCGACCAAAGAATATCTGAATATTGTGTGAAAAATCGTTAATAATCCAAAGAATATGTAATGGAGCGTTAATGAATCTATGAAGAATCTCGTACGAACTTGTACAAAACCTTGACGGCTCATTGAAGAATCTTTGGAAAATTCCTAGATCCACTGAAGAAGGAAATAATAAACAGTTTATTACTATGTATACATTTGGTAGTATATTTTTTGAGAACTTTTGAAAAATCTCCAGAGGACTTTTGGTAATGGTCTCTGAAAATGCACACAAAACGGAATAACATAAAAAAATTAACAGATTTCGTAATCCATGCAACCATCGGAGACATTAGAAATGATAACCGTAATATGTAAAAGACAAACTACCCTTATTCACACGGGATCATTTTCTCCACTCGCTCTCAAGCTCGCTCGTGTCGCAAAGGTAAAGTTTCTGAATAATAAACCTCATAACATGTTCGTAATCCTATTAAAGGAGATGTGCGAGAATTTAAATTGGAATTAACAAAACAATTGCGCACTATCAAGTAAGTACCGTATCGACAGTACCCGCGACTTTTCCTTGCTCTACCGATTGCGGCCGAGTACGGTACAATCATCGCTAGACGCGACACCATTGTCTTTCAGGTCTTCGGATTGAACGAAACTGTGAAAGTCCTTGAAGAAATTTTGGGAAATCAATTTTTTGCTTATATTTCTAAGTGGATGGAGTTTTATCCGAAGCTGCTCTACCTCGACCTACTCAACCCTTAAAAAATTGCTACGTTCGAACCCTGAGTTCGAACTTGGTAACTTCTTGGTCGCAGCCGAGTATCTCACACAATTTCGCATTGCCGTTCAAAGAGCAGGGTCCCCTATTTTGTAGGTAAAAGTTGTAACAGAAGTACTGGTCACCTTGTGGGCTGTGGCTCTCTTTTGGGACATGTGAAGGAGGGTGGATATTTAAGACTAGAAGGATTTTAGCCATTTATACATGTATTTGACCTAAGCTAATGTTCTCATCTTTGTTGTTGAGTTATTTGAAATTTTGAAGATTTTTCTTATAGCAATTTTTTTGTTCTTGAAGAATTTTTGGGAAATCTATTTTTTGCTTATATTTCTAAGCGGATGAAGTTTTATTAGCTAATGCGTAGGCGACGGACGGGGTGGACCAAAAACATTAAAGCCATAATTGCGCCTGCGTTACCTCTTGCGGAAATGCACGTTTTGAAGCATCAGGAATTCGAATCAAAATCTGTCGGTCCGTCTGTATTGTCATTTCTGGCTAAACGGTTCAATCGATTAGAACCATAAGGAAGAGCTGAAAAGCGTCTTAGGGCTTAAAAGTCTTTGGACAGAACGCGCATGCAATACCTCCCTTATTAACGTGCGGGTAGTAAAAATAATCGAAGTGGCGTTTGGATTTTTAAAAAGCGTTAAATCAAAGTGCGCAGGTTATGATGTAGAATCAGATTAGGCAATTTAATTTTTAAGAGTCTTCTTTACCTAAGCGCAACTTTTTTACATTATAGTGTGTAGATGATTATAGCTGCAAGAGATAAGATTATATTCTTGCTTTGTCAACTCCTGTCTTGGTCCTTAGTTAGTTCCCACCGACACTGTGCAGCGGCGCCACTTGTTACACTCAAATTGTTGATTTAACGCCCGCCAAGATACAGACTTTATTTACAAAAATTATGATTTCATTTTTTGGGGTCATGTTTAGAAGTAACTTATCTAAAAAACTGTCGGTTTACTTTTTCCATAAATCGTCTTGATCGAGAGTAAAAAAATAAAACAGATTAGCGCAATAATCGGTGCGAAACATCTAATCTTTAAACAATCGGCATTAAGTTACTATAAACTTTTTAAAAAAAAATAGTCCGAACATTTTGTAGATAAAGGTCTAAATTTATAAAATAGTTCTTAAAAAAAATTGTTTTTGGAAAAACAAATAGAGTTTTTATGGCGGGCGCTCTTATGGAAATTTACATTGGATGCAGTGGGTACAGAAGACTCTTAATACAGACATTGAATAAAAATGTGTGGTTTTATTCAATGATACAGGTGAAAATGATGTCACAAGAGGATACGACACCTTATTTGATTTGAAAATGTTGCAGGTCAATACAAATTTGAAAATATATTACCACCCTTGAAATTATTAAAATTTTCTACCTACTGCGTAGCGCAAGCATATGTAAAATTTGAACTGGAGAGTTTTAAAAATGGGCATACATATAAATAATTAAATTATTTCTAACGTAACAAATTAGTCGTCTCTTTTCGTAACCTTAAACTTAAGTTCACCTTCCGGTGCGTACATGAAAGTTATTTTGTATTCCAAAGGTTGATGAAAGTACTCCAATTTGTACGAACGAATTAACTGAAAGAAAGTTGGGTATTAGATGAAAGTAATAATCGGTACCGTTTGTTACCTTTGCAAGTAGTACTTGTATTTCAAGGTCAGCAAATCTTCTTCCGAGACACATTCGCGCGCCGTAGCCGTACGGTAAGGAAGCGAAAGGATGAATTTTAAACTCTTCGTCGTTCTTTTTCATCCACCTTTCTGGCATGAACTCGTTGGGGTTGCTGACATACTCACCCATACTTCCCGTGACTAAAGTGGGGAACACCACTTGAGTCTACAAATTAATTAATCTCGGAGTGTTTTATAACAGTCTTAAGTATAGGTACCCCTTTAGGTATGTTGTAATCCATAATGACGGTGTCCTTCTGTAAAGTCCTTCCATTACCGATTACAGTAGAATAAACACTACAAGCGTTTAAAACATCATTAAGAACACTCGAGAGATTTCAGGAAAATTACCGGAAAACTTCTTTTACAAAGGATTTTAAAAACACCATCTCGTCGAGCAATTTCACATTTAGAGGGGTATCTGGGTCAGGCATTAGTCGCTTGAGTTCCTGGTGGAGTTTTTCCTGCTGCTCTGGACGCGTCGCTAATTGGTACAGAATCGAACAAACCGCCATCGAAATCTGAAAATAAGACAAAGTAAGAAAGGCACATCAGCAAACCTGGGACTGATTACAGTGTCAATTCCAACCAATATCAAATCGAGAGCGAGAATCGTTGCAGTTTTGGGATTTGGTTCTTTGGCTAGGATTCGTTCGATCAACGAAAGCTCGGACTCGTTCACATGTTGCTTAGCTTGCAGTCTTACCATGGCTTCTTCAATATATTTGGTGCACACTCTGTAAGGAGCATTGTCTAGTTTAAGCTAATGATGGGGTCCGGACTCACTCGACAAAGTAATTCATGTTGTTAACGTATTTGTGCCAAATTGTCGTAGGGAAGTAGCGCCAAAACGGAAATTTCAGTTCCAAAATCGCGACGTTCCTAAGGGCGTACTTGGCAGCGTCAATAATTTTCTGAGGCTCCGAGTTGGAGGGCAGGTTTGGATCTAAGCAACCCAACCGTGCATCTAGGGCCACTCGCCCGATGCCTGAAAATCCAATTGAAAAATGTCATAAGAAGCTCTTAACTTACATTCCAGTGCCCACTTGTGGACTTCGTTATCAAAATCGCTCGGCATTTCCCCGTTACCATCTTTCATCTCCATCATCCTATAAAACATGTTGACGTGCTAAAGTTTAGAAAAAGGGCGCTTACCGCTGAATGAAGTAATTCGTTACTTCCTCCACTGGTTGAATGTACTTTTTCACCGTTTGAATTTGCAAGATCGGTTTTTGAACTTTGGTACGAAACTCCTTCCAAGGCTCACCATGACTGAAACAACCCCAAATTAGGTCTTAAAAACACCCCGAGTTATAATTACACTCCCACAACCCCAGGTAAATTTCCAAAGAAATCGTTTCTAACAACACTCTTATATTTAACAAGGCACGGCATTGACGGTCTAAAAGGTGTCGGACCTTCTTGCCTGTACACCCTTTCGATTTCATCGGCATCGTACACGAATAACAAATCGGGACGTCCAATTAATCCAGATAATTTCACAATTTTGCCGTAGTCCTCGTAGAGTAACTGCGAAATTTTGGCCACATCACATATGTCGTACTGTCCGATTATTGGTAGAAGACGACCGGTGTTACCCAAAATTGGTAAAGGCTTAGGACCCGGCACTTCAGAGTAGGGTTTGACTGTATTATTTGTAATTTCGTAGGGGCATACGTCGTCGGGTGTAACGGCTACCGCGTGTGATCGTTGCCGCTTTATTTTATTTAATACACTTCTTCTACCGTAGATGGAATTTAAAATTTTAAAAAATTCTGTCATCTTAGCAGTTGGGGAGAATGTCTCGCGGAAGCATAGAATGGTTTCGGTTAGGTAGGTGAAATGAACAACTGGCGAATTCGTAACATTACTAATTGTAATTTCACTGCTTTATTCTAGGATAGATATTTTACCATTTCCATCTTTTAGTACCCCATTTCCAACCGTGCAACTAGAGAGAGGGCTCACCAAATGTTTACGTGCTGCAATCATCGTGGCATGACAATTCATTTCTAAACAAATCTTTTTTCGCCTTGGTTTAACGTTGGCATCTATGATCATTGAAGTCACTCAAAGCAGTACCCATCTTAATTTATAACAGGTAATTGCAGTGATGATATCTGCAGGTATAAACCATGATAATTAAGAAAAGTAGGATTCGTTTGGTGTTTAAATATTTAAATCAGTTAAACAGGAAATGGAACGCTGTGTTTACTACACGAGTGTTGTTTACTACCAAAAACGAATTGAATGCGTTGAACTACAAGTAATTAAAAAGTAAAAGTTAATAAAATTTAATTTATGAGTATTTATATTAATCTTTTCATTCACAGAGTTTCTATACATGGAAAGGCATGTTCCAGCTCTTTCGTTTAATCGCGATAGATTTTTATTAAGCATCTTATACAGAGGATTAAACTCGAACGATGATTTGTAATTTTGGTAAAAAAAAAATTGTTAAAATACGTCCATACAGATCGCCAGGGAAAAGTTTAATGGAACTATAACTATCTAAAGTGGATGTCTTTCTTGCGATTTTTATTTTTTATCAAAATTGTAAATTACAATGGGTTGTTGGTTTTAGAATAAGCATTTGCCTTTTTGGCACTCTTTTTGATTACCTACAATTTGACCAAAAATAATAGACAATTGACAGTACTCACAGACACGCAATTTTTAACGCAACACTGTGTATAGAAATTTTACTTCCTTTCTGTCGGTACAAGAGCACAGGCTCGAAGCTTAATCTTAGACTTGAAATCAATTGAAAGCGTGTGTAATTCCCTTTTTGAAAGGTGTATGAACGGCAACATCAGAATGCTAATTATAAGAAGTTCTCATTTAGAGAGTTATAAATAGAAAACCGCGCGATAAAATTGCATATTATTTTAATATGTTATAAAATGAACCCACCCCCTAACATGCATTCTCAAAAAGAGAATTCAAACCGATTCAAATTTTAGTATCTGTCAATAGAACCTTTCTCAAGAAACATTTGCAATTTAATTTTTGTTGCTGCTTATAACCATGTAAATGAAGCTATTAATAAAACAATTAAATTAATTTTAAAAGCATAATTTTATTACATTTTCAAAACAATTTTTAATTGAACGGAGTTTTTACTGCGGTGCCTCTACCGATATGCGGCTGCTAGATCGAGGCGTATGTACAGTGATCGATTTCAGGGTCCTATGTGGTCATTATGGTTTTATAGCCCATTTTTAATTATGCCACTATTTATTTATTTTTTATTTATTTGCCTTTATTTTTGAGTGGACGGGGTTTCAGTCAAGGCTGCTCTACCAACCCAACCCACTATACATTTACAAATACCCATGCCCGACCCGGATTCGAACCAGGGACCCTTAGAGGCCTACCTGCTTTCCTTTGCGACCAGGTTCAGAATCCGTTCCTCTCAATAAAGGAATCACGATTAAATTGGCTTTCAAATAATGTGCCATTTGCCATAGGATTCCATTTAAAATTTTAGGGGTTAAGCTCCCTATGTAGAGGTGTGAAGACTTGGGTTCGTGATTTGTATTCCAAAAGTTGTCCCCCCTCAAATACAAAATTGACGTGTTCGAGGATTTTTCGAAATTTCTAAATTTAATACCCTAAAAGCCCTCTGTATACTTCTGGTTGGGCCACTCTGTATATTATTTTAACTGATAACACAATTCATTTCAAGACGGTCATAAATTTATTGTTAATTAATTGTAAATAAATCACGTAATTAAATTTACGCTGCAGTACGCTCAGTAACCCCTCAGGTTTGAGGAACGGACCTTTTGAGTTCAGCCATGTTCATCTGTTGTGGGAGAGTGACTTTACTTCATCGTTTTCAGTGAAGATTCTGCTGTCGTATTGGTTGCAGGGAAATTATTTTTCTTTGGTACGCCATTACTTTTCTACTGACTTTTGTCTACCTGAAAAAAAAGGGCTTATTGCTTTTGGCTGTTACCATATCTCTTTAGAGTGTTTTTTTCTTTCTCTTTTTAAAGTCTGGGGTTGTGGTGCTCCATTGAAGCGCTTTATGCGGCTTTGTATTTGTAAATAATCAGTACGAGGTATGTGCGTTTATGACGCAGGATTTTTCGTAATACGTAATTTTAGGGCTTTATCTTCCTTCAAGTTTCCTCAAATTTTTCTTATCGTTTTCTCATCTAGATCACCTTTTACGTTATTATCTACCTGGATATTACTTACTACCTACGCGGTACGTGAACGACATCGCATTTTTACCTAGACCGGCCATTTCAATTCCACTGCCATTTCAGTGAAACCAATCATGTCATTCTACGTACGGGGGAATCTACTTTATTCTATCCAACAATCCGTGGTTGATTAAAATTTTGCTTATCTGAGTATTAATTGCGGTTTAATATACGATTTTCGCAATATTATTGTGCCGCGCTATTCACTACCTCTCTTGTTGTGTTCGTGTTGTTACCTGTTACAGATTCGGCAGAAAGCGCCCTTCTGAATTCAAACGGCCGTTACGACTAGAGTTTGTTTGTTGTGTTATTTTCTCTTACAGATTTGCAGAATGCGCCCTTTTGACCTCAGAAGGTTGCGACCCGAAGTAATTTTTTTGTATTTTCGACGACTCCTGGATATAACGTTTGATTACATACTGGTTTTCGATACAATCGAATTGTAATTACTACATTCGTTTGATA